ACTTCCTCTTCTACGACGGGGAGACCGTCTCCGGGAGGGTGGTCCTCACCCTCAAGCACCCCAACAAGCGGCTGGAGCATCAGGGCATCAAAGTGGAGTTCATCGGGCAGATCGGTGAGCGGGGGGCTGCTGAGGGGCGGTGGTCCCCGACATCCCTGCGGGGGCCGCTCCCCTCTCGGTGGGGTAGCGGGAGGCCGGCACGTTCCTCCGGCCGCACGCCGGGAACATCGCTGCGCCCCGCGGTGTGGATGGGGATCCTCGCTGGGGTGAAGCGGGTGACGCTCGTTCCCCCGAGCGCTGCTTCGCCGCATGGAGAATCCCCACGGATGCGTGAAGTTATACCATCCTCCATCCCAGCTGGGCAACCCAGTCTGTTCCCTGGGCTCAAGCCCCTGCGGAAGGGAGGGGATTCCAGTCCCTTTCCAGGTCATTGTTCTCTCGTCCTATTTTCTCGCTTGTGCTTGGTCACCAACTTCATGCACACTCTCGGAGGTAGGCTAAAATTCGGTTTCCGTCCTGCAGACGCAGGTCAGAGCCTGGACATCCTAGCAACGCCAGCTCCTGGGTGGTATTCTCCAGGCTGCCTTTACTCCCAGCTCTACGAGTTGTCTGTTTGCATTTCTTGGGTGCCTGTTGATTCGGTTAGGGATGCCATGGCTCTGGCGAGGACAGTGAATCGGGTGGGTTTTGCACGTACGTCTCAATTCACCAGCGGCACCTTCCCAGCCCCTACCCCCCCATGCATTTTACCCGGGCCGATCAGCTTTCTTGCCACATATAGGCTCAGCTTGGCTCATTCCATTCTTTACGCTCTTTTTCTTTGAGGGGGTGACCACGCATCCCTGCACGGTTGGTTGGGTGACTTCAGGTTGTTGAAAATCTGTGCGTGTAACCAGCTGAGATTTAATATTTCCTGCTTTCTTAGAGGAAAGGTAGCTGCCACGCCCACTCTTTGATCAGAGAGGGGATGTCCATGTTTCCTAGACGTACCCAAGACCCACAAGCCAAAATAAGTTCAGGATGTTCCCAGTGATGTGACTGTGCTCGGCGTGTGCGATGCCTCGTGTCCGTGGCTCTGAGGGTTTCACCCCCAAAATCACTGCGTGAGCTGTGGGCTTGCAACCTTTGCATCGCAAATCATGCGGTGCAGGAAAGTGAACTAGAGGTTTTCCCAGCCAGCCCCGACACTGCTGGTTAATTTTTTTGCTGGCCTCTCTTGTGCATAACACCGCTTTTTTGGAAAGAAAGGGGAGGACAGGCAGAGAAAGCCTGTAAATGATGGAATGTAAGTGAGCCCGTTCATCAGGAGCTAGCTTATGACCTATTTGATTAGATGGTCAGTGGAAATTAAGCATGAAATTCACTTTCAGCTCCACTCTGTGTCCTCTCTGCTGGCTCGCTTGCTTCTGATTCCCCATTTTGGAAGACTTTTGAGCCATACTTATTTAGAATAACTGCTCTGGATTCACATTATTGCCCCAGCAGGGTGTGTTAGGAGCTGCTGTGGCTGCACGTTACTCTTTTCTCTTTGCCCATCACACCACTTTAATAAAACGCTGAAGTTTGCACTGCTGCCGGCACTTCCTTAATGCTTTCCATCTCAAAACAGCTTGCCTTCCATTCTGACTTCTCGCTGCCAAGAGGTCAGTGTCTATATGAAGCCATTTAACAAGTAGGGAGACCGAGATGTAAAGGAGTGATATGTCACAGGGAAGATGGCTGTTGGAGACCAAGTACCAGAGTCCAGACTGTGAACACTCTGTCCTGCGCGGTCTCCGGTGAGCACAGAACCCACTCAAGATTTCGGTTTGCCTGCGGTTATTGTGTCCTGAGCATGCCACCAAAACGTTGTCAGGTTATTTTTTTTTTTTTTTCAATCTGGAAACCTTAAAGCTCTGAAAACCTGAAATTACAGCTTATACTTCTTTGACATGCTGATGTCTTCTAAACTGTGGGAAACATCAATCCTTCCTATTCTTCAGGCTGCAAGGTGCCAATCTGCGCCCTTTTGAGGTAGCAGAGAAGTTAGTACACTGATATTTCCCTCTCCTTGCTTTAAATTCGGTCATTGCCTTCTGCATCATGTGGGAAGATGATATATTCCTCTTTCTAAGTGGCACATGGCTTCTCCTTGTCACATCAACAAGCCCTTTCCTCTCAATGGACATGTAGTCAATGCAGAGAGAGTTGGTTTATGTCACCTGCCTGCCCGGTACTCGCTGTTCTGCCTCGGTGAGGGGTGTTGTAGTGCCAGTGTTTCCATTATAGAGATAAGGTGAGCAAAGGAGTGCAGGAAACGGACATTACGTAAAAGCTGAAATCTCATTGTGCATCTCATGGAGCAGAGAACCCAGTCTCGCCGCAGTTCCTGAACTCTACTAATACTTTGCAGAAGCCTCCTCTGCAGAGTTTAGTGCTGACTGTGAAGCTGTGTCTGTATGACTGTCTGATGACTTGGGTTTTTGTTTCCTCATCTAACCGTATCAGATTGGCTAAGGCTCTACCTTTTAGAAGGACTGCGTGGGTGTCTTGTAGTCACACAGCTCACGCGTGGGGTTGGGAAGGGCAGATTTCATTGATGGTGATGTGTAATACGGAGCTGTTAATGCAAATTGCAAAGTTTCTGTTACTTTGACTTAAGGGAGAAAACTTTGTGGAAGTGTAGAGAGGATTGCGTTAATTAAAGGAGGAAACCTGTAGTTGTTTCCTGCTGCTGCAAGAAGGTTGTGGAGAAAACTGAAGCAATGTGACCGTGTTGGTTGCTTGAGCTGGTTTGAACAGTGAATGCTGTTCCCTCATCGGTGTTTACGTTGGCCATTAATGCGTTATCCAGGGGCTGGTGCAACAGTTGACTCAGCTGACTCCCCACACACTCGGTAGTTGAACCAAACACTGGCTTTGTGCAGGATTGATGAGGATCTCCACTGCTACTTATTCCCTGGTGTGAATCAGGACCACTCAACTCTGTTGTCCCAGGATGAGCAGGAACAGTTGGAAGCCTCCTAGCCCTTTGGGTTTGCCCTGTCACTGCTGTTCCAGAGAAGCAGTGGTGTTTTTTTCCTCTCTTTACAGTGGCAATGCCTTTGCCCTGGAATATTGTGTAGAAAATTATTGGAAGGGATTGTGTGAGCTGCTGGCTCCTCTTCTCAAACAGTCTGAACATAATTAATATTGATAATAGGTGACCCATATCACTCTAAGGCAAGCCGAGGTCCTGATTTGTTGTGGTAGGTGAGGCTGTGTGGACCTCTTCCTTCCTGTTCCAGGGAGGCAAGTTCTGTCCCGCACCATGCTCCGATGGAGAGCAGTGAACAAGTGCAGTACGTTGCAGCCACAGGCTCCCTGGTAGGTTCTCTGAACAGCGGTGAAGGAAGTAGTGATCTGGACAAAAGAGCTGCTCGGAGCCGTGAAATCTCCTGCCTTTCCTCACTGTGTCACATGGGACTAAGCATCACTGCTTAACCTGGACTTCTGTCTTCCTAGAACTCTACTATGACCGAGGAAACCACCATGAGTTTGTGTCTCTGGTGAAAGATCTGGCTCGTCCCGGTGAATTCACTCAATCACAGACATTTGACTTCGAATTCACGCATGTGGAAAAACCGTACGAATCCTACACAGGGCAGAACGTGAAGTTACGGTGAGTCTCTTCCCCTTGCTGCCCCCAGTCGTTGGTTCTGTGCAATGTGCAAGCACTGATATTTACTGCGATGATACTGGAGTGCAGCATCCCTTCCCAGACATCCCTGCAAGCTTTCAGCGTAGCTCCAAATCAGTTTTGGTGGGCTGAATTGTAAAAGGCCGTCCTTGAAGGCTCTACCTTTGTAAGCATGCATCAGGGTTTATGGAACGTATTTTGCACCATTTAAGTAACAAGAGAAATCAGCCCCTTCTTAATCAAGCAAATACTTTCTAATTTACTTGGTAATTCGAAAACCAAAATAAATTGTTTGCTTTAGTCTCCAATGGGGACATTTTTCCTGCCTTCTAATCAGTCTTGTCGACTTTAATTGTGCTCTGTATGCAAACAGATGCCTGGCTTGTGTCTTGTCTATATAGCAAACTGTATTTCACATCTAGGCACTCCAGTTGACTTGCAGTCCAGTCACTGGCTTCAAAGTGGGGGTTGGAAAATTCTGAGATCTGCAGAAAGAGGTGTGTCTGTGGAGACCGGTGTGATCTAATCTCTTGCAAAAGGGCAGTGGTTTTAACATGTGCCAGCTGTTACCTGGATCCCCAAAATGCTGCTTACGTAACTCAGGCTCACAAATGCATGAAAGCTTAGAGAAGTCTTAGAGTGTGCTTTTCCATTTGAAAATTCCCTTCTGTCTTTTCCAACATGGGGTATCAGCTACTCCAGGAGCCAGGGTACCAGTAAGATGGCTTGGATAGCCCAGTGCAGTCCATTCAGCCCCATGTCCCTCCCTGCTTCGTCTCTGTTGCTACCTGTACATCCCTAACAGGAGGGGACCTCTCCTTGCAGGTATTTCCTCCGAGCGACTGTCAGCCGCAGACTGAACGACGTGGTGAAGGAGATGGACATAGTTGTGCACACTCTGAGCACCTACCCAGAGCTCAACTCCTCTATTAAGATGGAGGTGGGGATTGAGGATTGCCTGCACATTGAGTTCGAGTATAACAAGTCCAAGTAAGTGTCTCAAGAGCAGCCAGTGGCTGTGGGGAACCATCTGCTACAGGGGACAGCTTGGTTTGGAAGCCCGAGGGAAGTGTCTTGCATGTGATCCTCGAAGGGATTCTTTGTTCATGCACCCCAGCGAGGCTGGCAGACAGTGGCTGTGGCTTACTGAGCTTGGAGCACAGCGTGAGGCTATTGCAGTAGCTTCACATTCCCTGTATCGTGGGCAAGATCAGTATTTCCAAGGGTTTTCAAAGTATAACGTCTGCTCTTTACCAGACAATACAGCTGAAGTGGGACCTTAATTCAGGCACAGAATTTGGAAAAAACTCCTTTAAACTACTTATAATGCATTCTTCCCAGCTGATGCGAGCAAATCTCCCTGCAGTCTAGCATTTGGGTTAGCTTTAATTGACCTAAAAAATTGGTTTTGGAGGCTTTGCTGTCACAGGGGTTTCTTGCAGGTATTCAGCCTGAAATTCTGTTTTTTTAATTTATCTGATCATGCTAAACGTTCTTGTCAATTTCCAAAAGATTGTGGTGCTTTTCTCCTTCATGTGCTAGGTACCATTTAAAAGATGTGATTGTCGGAAAGATCTACTTCCTGCTGGTGAGAATCAAGATCAAACACATGGAGATAGATATCATCAAGAGAGAAACAACAGGGACCGGACCCAACGTGTATCATGAGAATGACACAATAGCTAAATACGAGATCATGGATGGGGCACCTGTGAGAGGTGAGAAGGCAGATGAACCCTTCAAAATTCCTCTTCTGAAGTCTTTTGGGGTGGGAATAAGAGTCCTGCAGTGGTTTCAGCTGAATCTGGGTGCTCAGTAGGAGTATGCATCCTGTTTCACCAGTAGACTCACAGCAGTTTATTCAGGTGATTAAATATGATCCCCTTCCTTCTCTGGTATGGTGAGGGGGAACTGAGGCATAATGAGCTGCAATGACAATTCTTTTGATGAAGCAGTGGCAGAACCAGGAATTAGATGTAAATTCACTGTTGGCACGGGCCACCAGCTGGCACTGATGCAAGTTGGCACAGAAAGATGGTGTCCTAGCTCTGTGCCAATCTCCTGTGCCACTTTTTTCCAGTTCCATTGCCCAGCAGAGTCATGCGCCAGAGAAAATGTCACCTTACTCATTTTTTCATGCGGGGCTGTCTTGATGTGGGTCGCAAATGAGTTCTGTGCTGTTGAAGTGGAGCTGGAATAGCTGTCAGCAAGGGCAGGATCTGGCTATGGGCCATGCTTGCTGATTTTTGGAGTGAGTTGGGGTCTTTTAGCTCATCTTGCTCCACTTGTGGAAATGGTCACAAAGTTTGTGGTCTAGTGAGATTTTGTTTTGCTGGTGCTCTCCTGGTTTATGTCTGTACATTCTGTCTGTGCTGATGGTTCTGTGCACTTCGTAGGGGAGTCCATTCCCATCAGACTCTTTCTGGCTGGCTACGAGCTGACTCCAACGATGAGGGACATCAATAAGAAGTTCTCAGTGCGTTATTACCTCAATCTGGTGCTGATCGATGAGGAAGAGAGACGCTACTTCAAACAGCAGGTGAGAAACAGAGCTGTTCTTGGACCTGGAGACTTGTCCCGTGGGGTACTATGTTACAAGGACTTTTTTTCCACTCTGTTGCCCCATGGTGGAGCTTCTGTTCTTCACCTTTTCAATTCCAACGTGGTGGCCCATGGCAATAGGCCAGAGCTGCCCTAGATGTCCAGTGGGCTGCCTCTGTGTGCTCAGAACCTGGGGAGGAGCGCTCTACCCAAATTTTCAGGAAGGCTGCACTGCAAGGCCTCTGCTTGTCACTGCAAGTGGGCTCGTGCACGGCTGTGGGTGGAACACGCCAGCATGGGCCGAGTTCTCGCTGGGTGCAACCTGGCAGCTTGGTTCAGCCTTTGGGTCTGGGTGGGGCTGGGAGAAGGTCTCACAAGCCCTGACAAGCCCTGCTGGCTGTGTTACTACAGGAGGTGGTGCTTTGGCGGAAAGGAGACATAGTGAGGAAGAGCATGTCCCACCAAGCAGCCATCGCCTCGCAGCGGTTTGAGGGGACATCCTCCCACGCCGAGGCCAAGACCCCCAGCCAGCACAACGGCCGGCAGTGAGAGGCCACGCAGAGGAAGGCTGCTGTGGAGCCAGTGGGGACAGCAGCACGGAGGAAGAAAAAACACTTCAGAGACTTAATGAAAATAAATATCCGTTTTTGACTTAATTCCTTTCTTCAAAGGACTTGTAGGGTGGGAAGAAGATGGGAGGGCAAGGCAAGCTGGAGCACTGGTGGTGCGGAGTTGAAGGTACCTCGGTGCTTCCCAATCAACTACATTCCTCTGGAGTCAGTTGCTTTGGGGCGTGTGTCCGGAGGCTGCGGAGCTGCCTGATCTCCTCTTTGCCCCGAGACCCTTTCTTTCAGTGTCGCAGTGGGGGAAGAGAGAGCAAGTGAAGGCCAAATCTGCTGCTTCTTCCCAGCAGTGTGGAGGTTGCTCTGGGGCTGTGTAGGACGGGTATTTTTCTTGCCTTTCTGAAATCTTCATGAGAGAAGATGACACAGTGATTAGCTGGAAGGTAGAGGAGGGAGTCAGAGGCTGAGGTGTGGCCTGCTTGAAATGATTAGTGTTGTCCCCTCGCTGTCTCCCCTTCCTCTTCACGCTGGCGTTGGATCCCTTGTCACAGTTATAGAATGGAGTTGAGTCAGCCCTGGGACGGCCACATGGCCGCGTGGAGGAGCACGGGCAGCAGGCGTGCTGCTGTGTCCTTGCTGTGGAGCTCCTGACTCCTGCTGAGTCGAGGGGGAGCTGTGGCTGGTAGGAGGGATTGAGGCATGCCAATGCAGTAGGAGGTGGCGCGGGCTGGGCAGAGCGGTGAAGGTCCCAGGGTTGCTGGGTGGGCAAGAAGTGGGGGCAGGAAGGCTCACGGCCAAGAGCAGTGCCTTCCTAGGCTTGTCCTGGCAGCTGAGTGCCCACGATTCAGTCTCTCTGGTTGCTGCACTCACGCAGGTCCCAGTTGCTGCTGCAGAGCCGGGGCAGACCAGCCTTGAGAGGTCTAGAGAATAGTTTTGGAACGTGAGAAATAATTGGCGGCTCTTTAGGGAGCGGGCGTATGGTGCACACGCTGCTCTGCTCGTGTCTGTGTCCTTGTGACAGAGTAGGCTTTGTAGCAGGGACAGACGGACGTGTGTATTGTTTTGTTTGCTCCCTTGCGCTTGCGGGATGAGGATTACTAAGGACAGCAAGTGGATACGATTGTTTTAAGAAGCTTGTGGCCTGTGTGTGCTGCTAGATGAAGCCAGGCAGAAACTGGAAGGATGGTAGAGCTCTCTGATTCCAGAGGCACATTCCTGAGGCTTGAGCTGAAATCACCAGTGAGGTCTGAGGCTATGCCATGAACTGAGAGACCTGAATGTGGGTTTTTGCTTTTCTAAAATAAGCTTCTTTTAGTCTTCAGCTAAGTAGAATCATGAGAATGTTCCCAGAAGGGAGTCACTCCTCCATTAAAAATTAGATGTGGCTTTGTAGACTTGATTGACTGAGTCTGGAGAATATCCATCCTGCCTAGATGCCCTTCAAGGAAGCAGGTGGATAGACCTCCTGCCGGATGGAGAGACACACCTCCACTAAATGCTGGGATCTGAGCTCTATCAAGTGGGATTTCTCTGGATTTCCCTGTGAGTTTGTGGCTCGCTAAGGTTTTGTCCAGCTTCCTTTTGACTCTGGAATGAATCTCCTCTGCCTCTGTCCTACAGGTAGAACAGTTGTCTTGCAGCTGGGAAATGGAAGTATCTTCTGCTTTGTTTAGTGGAACAGTGCTGGTGGAGGGAATGGGGCCTGGGTGGGAAGGGGAGCTTTTTATGTAATAAGACAGCTACTGTATTTCAGTGATAAGTGTGTGTTTCTGCTTGCCAAAGTAAGTTATCTTTTACTCACCACGTGTAAGGTGGTTTTTAGTAGAGCTGGACAGTCTCGTTCTGTCGTAGAGGACACTAATGATCTCATCTCTGCTGACTGCTCGTGTCACACCATGTTTCTGCTCTGTAACAGTGAAGACGTGGCTTGCTTTTCTTTACATGAGAAGCCTGTGCCATGGGCTGGAGCTGTGTCTTCCTAAGACTGAAGCAAAAGCTTACTTCAGACAACTGCCTTGTTGTGCCAGGGCAATGGGTGGTAACCTGCTGCAGGTCTCACGCAGCAAAGGAATCGGGATGTTACTTTTGACACTCACTCTACACCCCCTCTGTGCAGGGGGACCCACCTGTGCTGTGGCAATACACAATCTTTTAGAGACAAGTGAAGCTCCCATCGGGAGCCCCTGGGGATAGCAGACTATCTTTCCATGGCTAAGCACTCTAACTGCCTTCTTCTTTCCCTCAACTCCCATCCTGCCTAGAATTTATTTTCCTTGCCTATTCCTCTTGATGGTAAGCCATGTGGTATTAAAGAAACCCCATGGATAAAGGTGTCTCTGCATTCCAGGAGTGTTTTGTTTACTGACCAAACAGCATCAGTACTGGATGCAAGACAATTTTCTGACAGGACAATGCACTGTAAGGAGATGTCTATTAAACATCTGTTCATCACTTCTGGAGGGATTACTTGGAAAATGTGCATGAGCCTATACATTGGGTTGGTTTGGGGGTTTTTTCCCTACTTTGTGCCCCTCCCCTCTTTGTCCCTACTTGTGGAAACAGAGTTTAGAAATTATTTCAATTTTTACTTAATCTAAATGGACCCTTCAACCTGTTACCCACCAGGCCCTCTCTTTGTCTGGGGTGGAGATGTTCTGAGCATCTTTAGAGAGAAGTTGAAACGTAAGGTCACTCCAGGACAACATACTTCAGAAAAGTGTTTCATTAGCATGGTTAAGGGGCAGACGGCACTGGAGCAGTCGTGTTCCCCTGAGCTGGGTGATTCTGTTTGGTACTTGGCTCATTCCCTCTCTCCCACGCAGTCAGGCAGGGGGGAGTGTGCAAGTACTAACCAAGCAGTGCAACCTGTAATTAAGCCTCTGCTGTGTTTACATGTTTCTTAATTTGTTGTCTTTTCAATGGCTGTATTTTAAAACTTGGGGTTTTTGTCTCTCCAATTAAAAAGAGCCAGCCCTGGCTGTCAAATGCTGTGCATAGTTTTGTCTGATATGGTTTGTATTGCCTGACTTGGGTCTGGATTTTTTTTATTTTTAATGATACTAAGAAATTTTTCTTTATTGCCATACTGTGCAGCCCTCCAAACATGCTTGAGGAGTTTGTCCTTTGTTATCTTTATAAATTCTTGGTCTTTCTTTAATCTATATTGCTGCTTAGAAGCTGTGCTGGTGGAACACCCATGTAGCTTCAAAATTAGCAAGCTGGCTTTATTTGCTTCTGTTGCCCTGATGTCAGTACTAAAAGAACATGGCAAGTTTTGTACCTGCAGGAAGTTAACTGTGATCTGCTTTGCAGCAATCGAGCTGGATGTGTATAGTGTATATACATCTAAGTTTTCTTGTTCTAGACAGCAGCTTAGTGATACCTTTCTGCAGAAAAAATGTCTCTGTCTGGATCCTGCAGTAAACATCCTCAAGGAGGATGTACCTGTTTTGTCCTTCAAGAGAGCAATTGCTGATTTTTCCACTATTAAAACTTGAGCAGCTGCAATTGATTCTAAAAGGCTTTATTTAAAAATAAGCAAAAATAACAGTGTGTCAGAATAAGGGACACGTAGCTGCGAATCATGTGCAGGCATGTTCTTGTTGCTGCGATTGAGCAAGTAAACTTGAGAATTACGCTGGTTTAGGAGGAGGCATCAGCGGGCTGGGTAGAAGCTGTGCTGCTGTCAGTTTCTTAATGTGGCTTTTCCTCTTCCAGGCTCAAGACAAAATCAAATTCCTCTGCGTTGAAAAGGTAAGGGAAGAAAAAGCCGTAAGTGGAACTTCCAGGTTCTCTGAGTGAGGGCTGCCTCTCAGAGGGAATGGCACCAAGAGTCCAGAGTTCTTACCTTGTGTCAGTGGTTGGATGGAAAGACGTTGTCTTGTGAAGAGCATCATGTTCTTTAGGGGGCCTCCATCTGCTTTATGTGCCAGGTGGTGGGCCTTGATTTCAGAAAGGGGGATGAAACGTTTTGTCATCCGCACAAACTGGACATCCACCTGGGAAGTGATGGGCAGCAAAGGAGCATGGTTGGAGAAGGATACAGCCTTCAGATGTTACATAAGATCTTTGGGAGGATAAAGATGTTAAACTGAAGCAAATGACTGATATGAACTACCTTATAACAGTACGGAAGCTTTTTGTTGCTCAAGGCTAAAAGAACTTTCACATATTTCCGGCAGGTGGTTTGTTTACATGGATCTTAGCACTGTGCACTAGCAACATACATTCATGTTGTCACAGACAATACAAAATTAAGATGCAGGATGTAGCCAGGCTGTGAACAGTCACTTCCCTATAATTTAGCACGCCTCAAAACTGCAGCTTTGTTTGCTGTAGACTGAGAGTGGTACTTAAAAGATGTTCCTTCTCCTTCCTAACCCAGAATTCTGCCATGCATGCAGGTCAGCTCTGCATCCAAGTAAAATTTGAAAATTTAGAGAGAGATTTTGGCAGCCTTCTGGAAGAGATAAGGCAAAAGGTAGGGAAAACAATCAGAATTGGATTTTCTCTTGAGAGAGAAAAAGGTAGCTAGGCCAGGACAGAAGCTTAAGAAGATATGCAATATGATGCAAAGAGGCTTCTACCTTCACTCGGCTTGCACACAGAGCTTGAAACAGCTGTATTTAGTTTACTACATTACCATGGACCATTTGGGGTTCTCTTTTCTGCTGGTGGAATCATAATGAGGATCCTTCTGATCAAACTGTGTGTGATCAGGGTATGCCTCCTTTACAATCTGAAGCAGAAGAGGAGAAGAATGTGAGACAAGTTCCCAAAACTACTGTCAGCAAAGGGTATGAAATGCCCTTGAGCGAGCAGGGCAGTATTCCTTGACATAAGGAATAATCCTGGTGCAAAAATCAGCCTTGCTTTCCCTGAGCTCCATTCTAATGGTGAGATACATTTCCTTCCTTTACATTTCCTGGGTGGAGGCACTGCAGAACAGTACAGCTGTCAAAGAAGCGTCATCACCTCTTCGGAGAGCAATGTGGAAGGAGCGCACTCAACAGAGGAAAACTGCGTAGATGATGATAGTCTTTGCGATGAATTCTCCTCTTAAAGAAAAAGCTTTTCTGTGC